GATTCATTGAACTTTTCAATGGCATGTTTCAATCTCGAGTGTGCCATTCAGGTTTTGTGACTGGGATGCCGAGGATCACAAAATAAGGTGTGAAGTAACCATGCAAATTACTTGGTACCCTTAATATTTACCCCTCAATCGATGTGCCGGTTAACCACACGCGCTCCATCGATACTATGATAAACATTAAGTTACCCTTTACCTACATTGTTAAGTCCAGGTTAGTGTGCCGGTTAACCACACACGCTCCACTAACGACTTAATCAAAGTGCAAAGTGTAATTTCATGGGTTAACACCTTATTCACATTTTCCTACAGTAACTAAGATTGAGAATTTTATAAAGCATTTAGTTACTTTATATTCCATCATACTTTGAATGAGGATTTAAAGTCCTTGTCCTACCCGTTCGGCTAACGATCTTCCACCAGTTAAGGAAGCGGTGGGTGAGAGTGGACACCCATTAAGCTGCCATTTTATAGGCAACAACCTTATACCCCCTTATAGACCGGCTTCGTGAATGAGGCCTACTAACGGTAAAACGACTTGTTCTTATATATATATATATATATATATATATATATATATATATATATATATATATATATATATATATTATTAACTTACAATATTATAAAGTATAAGGGTTGAATTTTAACTTTTAAAATTCTAGGGGTTGGAACTAAAGTTTTTAAAGAGACTTTATATGTTCCAAAACTTGAGGGCAAGTTTTGTAACTTTCAAAACTTTCCATCTTTCATAACCTATGAGTTAATGGTTTAATAAAATGAGAGACTTTTCATTTTATGTAACCTATGTGTTTAATAATGGACTTTAATAAGAATGACTTTTGGTAATCCATAACTTGAGGACAAATTATGGATTCCATTAAAACACATAATGATCAAGAATTAAACTAACAAGCAAGTTACAAATAATTCATATGATCTTCTAAACTCATAAGTTCATGAATGTTCATATCAACAATTTCAAGAATCATAAATAAACCATATAAAACTTGAAAATTTGATAATAGCCATTGAAAATAGATTAGCATAACCATTACACCATCTAAAACAAGTTTTATAACACCAAAACAGTTTAGGGTAATGTTTCTAGTCCATTTCCAGCAGCCAAACTCGAAAATCTACATTCAGGGGCTCCTACTCGTCGAGTGCACGAACCTACTCGACGAGTAGGATGAATTTACTCATGGACTCGTCGAGTCCCCCCATGGGCTCGGCGATTTCATGCTGCAGAATGCAGAAAGCTGAGTTTTTTCAACAAGTTTGCATCAAGTATCAAATAAACAAGCCTAGGCTCTGATACCACTGAAGGGTTTTGAGCATTCTAACATTCCTATGGTGTACATGCAACCCTAGAAACCTTGGATCTATGTTTTACTATGATACATGCAAATTTGATTTTCCAAGGTTCTTTACCTATCTAGCATAGCATGGGGAACTTTTAAACATAAATGCTAGAAGAAGAACATACCTTTTGTAGTTTGGATTCCTTGAGAACCTTGTGAGCCTAGCACCTCAAGTGTGATGCCTCAAATGTCTCACACAACACTACAACACTTGGAATAACCTTGAGAGAAGTTTCACTTAACCTCAAAATTGAATTGCCCTCTTACTTGTACAAGTAGTACCGATTTTGCTAGACTAGGGGCCTTTATATAGTTGTAGCACAAGTAGGGTTACACCATGTAAACCGTAATTGTCATGGCTTTCCATATTCCATGATCCATGGGTTTGTAACCTTCATGGACTATCCATGGAGCACTTTATGGGTTTTAACCCAATCCATACAAACCATGGATCATTAGCCCACTATACAAGAATAGATGATTTACACAATCAACCCCATATATTTAATTAGTCTCTTTTTGATCACTTAATTAATTCCAAATTAATTCTTTGATCAATACTAATTAAATAATATTATTAATATATTAGAGTTATAATATATTAATAAACCTTAAATGTCCTTTCTCTCAATTTGGTCTATCCAAGTATTGCAATGTCATGCAACCCAAATGGACCATGTCGGGTCGGGTCAAGTACATACCAGATATAGTTATGGACTTAGACACTCTACCCAACACTACAACCCCATCAACCACCCAAACATGACTAAAAGCATCTAAACTAACCCAAAAAGAGATCTAATCAAATATTAAGCAAGGTTAGAACTTTATACCCAAAATATGCTGGAAATGGTGCAAAGAATCAAGATCTGAAGGCTCCTGCTTGAATCACCACCTTGCACCAAGCTTCTCTTCCTTCAATGAACTTAAAACACACCAAAACACACCTACAATAAGCTCACAACACTCAAGGTGACTCTAGGGTTTCGAGATTAGGGTTAGGGGCTATGGAGGCTAGAAATGAGGCCAACACTTGGGACTTAAGGTGTTTAAATAGGGTGAAAAACCCTAAAATTAGGGTTTCCTCCCATGCTGCCAACTCGCCGAGTTGAGGCACCTCAACTCGTCAAGTTGACTCATTAAACTTCGCGGCCAAAACAACTTCAACACATCTAGTTGAGGCTTTCAACTCGATGAGTCCTCCAGGAAAAATGAAATAATTGGAAATAAAATATACTAGAAACCAGGCGTGACAATTCTCCCCCACTTGAATCAGACTTCGTCCTCGAAGTTCGCCGTCTCGAACAATCCTGGGTAATGTTCCCTCATCTCCTCCTCGGGCTCCCAAGTCCACTCCGACCCCTTGCGATGCAGCCATTGCACCTTCACTAGCTCCGCTACCTTGTTCCTCAAGGTTTTTGTCTTCCGATCTAATATTGCCACTGGTTTCTCAACATAATTCAGGCGGTCATCCACCTGATTATCCTCCAAGGGTACAACTGCGGAATCATCCACAAACACTTCCGCAACTGAGAGACATGGAATGTGCTATGAATCTGGTTGAGCTAGGCCAGAAGATCTAGACGATACGCAACCCGGCCCACCCGAGCCAAAACCCTGAAGGGACCGATATATCTGGGGCCCAGCTTGCCCCGCTTTCTGAACCGGATGACACCTTTCCAAGGTGACACCTTCAGGATAACCATATCTCCCACCTGGAACTCCAAATATGACCGGTGCTTGTCGGCATAGCTCTTCTGCCGACTCTGGGTTGTCTAGAACCTGCTCCAAACCTGCTGAATCATCTCGGTAGTCTTGAGTACCACCTCGGTACTCCCGATGACTCGCTGAACGACCTCACCCCAACAAATCGGGGTCCTACATTTCCTCCCGTAGAGCATCTCGAAAGGAGGTCGATTAATGGTAGCGTGATAGCTGTTGTTATACGAAAATTCCGCTAACGGAAGATACGTATCCCAACTCCCACCAAAATCTAACATGCACGCACGCATCATATCCTCAAGATTCTGAATCGTCCGCTCACTCTGCCCATCGGTCTACGGATGAAAAAATGTACTGAAATGGAGACGAGTGCCCATCTCGTCATGAAACCGCTTCTAAAACCTGGAAGTAAAACGAACATCTCGGTCGGAGACCACCGACACCAGCACCCCATGACATGCCACCACCTCACGAACATAAATCTCGGCTAAATTCTCTGCAGAAATACTCTCCTGGATCGGGATGAAGTGCGTGCTCGTGGTCAATCGATCCACAATGACCCAAATAGAATCCACTCTGCGTGCTGTCCTGGGAAGCTTCGTGATAAAATCCATCGTAATGTCTTCCCATTTCCATACGGGAATCTCCAACGGCTGCATCTTGTCGTGACGTCGCTGATGCTCGGCCTTGACTTTCCTGCAAGTCAAGCACCGCTCCACAAACCATGTTATATCCTGCTTCATGCAGGGCCACTAGTAATCAGGGCGAAGATCCCTATACACCTTTGTCGCCCCGGGATGAAAGGAGAATCTCGACTTGTGACCCTCCTCCATCATAACTTGGCGCACCCTGCCCCAATGCGGAACCCAGACCCTCCAATGCAAAGTTAACAGTCCCGGGCTATCATAATCGAAGGAAGCCACCTGACTCACTATCTTCTCACACTTCCGGCGCTCTTCCTTCATAGCCTCAACATGTGTCTCCCGGATCCGTTCCAGCAACGGAGTAATCACTGTCATCATTAAGCATATACCACGAATCGGAGCCGCGGCCGCCTTACAGCTGAGAGCATATAGAAACTTGTTTTAAACCAATTTGTTATGCAACCATCATACATATATTTATCGTAAAAAGTTTATTAATTAGAATTATATTTAAATTTTGAAATATTTGTATACAACCTCTTTCTACACATATTAGTGTGGAAATTTTACTATGAGTGATATTCTACATCCTTGATAATTTTATTACGATTGATATTCTATATCCTTGAGAGTCTCTAAGGTTGCAGGCATGCAATATTTGAAAACAAACGTCAACGAAAGTTCAAACACAAAATGCCAATGTCTGGATTGTCGTAATCCCAAAATTCAACTCTTTTCAAAACTTTAACTAGTTTGAAAAGTTATCATTTGTCAACCTCGAACGATATAATCACATAGCTACTTTTGGGGAACTATTGACAAAATGTTGCAACCCTTACCATATAATCATATAGCTACTCTTGGTGTGATGTTGCAAAAGTGGGACAAATAGCCTTGATGCTCAAGTTATCAAAAGGGGCAAAAGTCCACATCGTTTTCCATGTTTTTGTACAAAAAAGAACAAGTTAACATTAGCCAACATCTTGTTCAAGGATTTCCATCTTTGGCTTAACATGACCAACTCCTAATTTAACCAAATACGATCCTATTATTAGAAAGAAAGATACCATCGTCGTTAAAGTATTAGTCGATTGACAAACTACTCTTATTGATATGAGGCACCCAACACATTTCGTGATTTGTAGCCTCGAAGACAAGTCTCTTTTACAAGAGGAGTTTAAATAACACTTTTTATCAAGTAAATGGGAAGTATTGCCTTTTGTGATAAGTAGGCGTGGTATAATTGAAATATTGTTTGTTGAGATGTTAGTAGCGACATGATGGGGAAGAGCAAAAGAAAAGAGTATCCCGAAATACCATTTGCTTAGTACTTCCTCTTCTATCTCCTCCTACTCCCTTCTTTTCTACATCCATTCTCCCCCGTTTCATTGATCATTACAAAAGATGGTCGGCAATTCTATAGCAAACATTCCAATTTGCCCTACTACGATGCTAGCTGCACAATGGGTCTCCCCCAAATCCCGTTTAATTGCCCTAAATACATTCCCTTCACCACCCCCAAAACGGCGTTCACTTACTGTAAAAGCCGCATCTCACGATACAGAAAACAGCCAACAACCCTCATCGTCATCGTCTTTAGAAAGCAATAAGAAGAACCCACTTGCAGTTGTCCTAGACGTTCCCCGGAATATCTGGAAACAAACGTTGCGCCCTCTCAGCGATTTTGGGTTCGGTAGGCGAAGCATTTGGGAAGGCGGAGTTGGGTTGTTCTTGGTGTCCGGCACTGTGTTACTTGCACTTAGTTTAATTTGGTTAAGAGCTTTCCAGTTGAAGTCCAGGTTCAAAAAGTATCTAGCTGTATTCGAATTTTCTCAGGCTTGTGGGATTTCCACTGGTACTCAAGTTCGGATCAGAGGGGTTACTGTTGGTAACGTTATCCGTGTTAATCCTTCTTTGAAAAGTATCGAAGCGGTCGTAGAGGTTAGTTGCATTGTCACTTGATCTTCTAGTGAAAGATTTTGAGGTCTATTGATTGATTGTTGATTGTGTAATTGTAGGTTGAGGATGATAAAACAATTATACCTAGAAATTCGTTGATTGAGGTGAATCAGTCGGGGCTTTTGATGGAAACCATGATTGATATTACTCCTCGAGATCCAATTCCTACACCTTCTTTTGGGCCTCTGGACCCAGATTGTGCTAAAGAAGGCTTGATCTTGTGTGACAGACAAAAGTTAAAAGGAGACCAAGGTGTAAGCTTGGATGCATTAGTTGGGATTTTTACACGTCTTGGAAGGGAAGTAGAACAAATCGGTGTTGCTAACACTTATGCATTGGCGGAAAGAGCTGCTGCTGTTATCGAAGAAGCAAGACCATTGCTTTTGAAGGTTTGATTTCATTTGGTAACCTTTTTCTGATTGAATACTTTTAAAAGAATGGAAATTGGAGTTTGAAGGAATTGAAAATCTGTAAGGGGTTTGGTTGGCATTGTAGTTTGTAAGGAGACTTTGGTCTTTTTAATCCTGATGAAAAGGGAATGGAATTTAATCCCCATTCATTTGCCAGCCAAACGCTTTATGAAATGGAATCTCACATTCCAATTCCTCCTGATTCTGCTGAAATCCACAAGCCAAAGATGATCTTAAGGTTGATCTAAGTGTTTGCTCATTTTGGCGTTTGGTTTGCTGAATTTTGTGGGAACTGGAATTCAAATCCAGTTTTTTTTTTTTTTTGGTTTCAAATGAGTAATGATTTGAATTGGGTTGAAATTCACAAAATCTTTTTCATCCTGGAACCTATGGAATTCAATTCCCTGCATTTTCTCACTATTAGAATAATTAAATGCTAGGGAAAACAATGTAGTTCCATTGATTTGTTTACTATAGCATCCTACTTTTATTTCTTTTTGTTACAACTTACAACATTGTGTGTTGAAAAGTCTACCAAATTATAGCGATCTCGTCCAAATACAAAGCAATTTCGATACTATAATAAGAAATGCTACAATACACAAACATATGAAAGTACATTGCTTTTTTTCTTGCATATAGCCTTTGTAAAAAATACTCAAATACCCTTTAACCTTTCACAAGTACATTGCAAAAGCTTGACAGAACTCAATTATTTTAGATTCAAAATCCAACAAATTCCAGTTCCTTCCAAAACATTATACAAACGAAATGCCTCTTAGTGTCCACACTTTCATTTGATGAATAGCTTGTTGGTGGGCACATAAGAAGAATAATAGCATTGCATTCGTTCTTTAATATATACTCCCTCCAATCTCTATCCTTAAAATAATGCCAACAATTTCCTCTTAAAGTTGTACCAAAAAAAAACATTTCCTTGTTTCGGAAAGTTTTCTGCCCATTATTGTAAACCTTACATGAAATTAGTAACTATAATTGTGGTTCATAAGATATCTTTAGACCTTTTAATCAATATTCAGTAGGCAAACATCTTGTTTGAAGTTTGTGCCAAGTCAAGAACACTGGAGGGAGTATTAGATTCTCTCACTAATTGGCAAACATCTACATGTGTCATGTGAGGTTGTGTTTGGATTTGCATCGAAAGTGATCCTGTTTCAAGTGTTTGGCAAAAACTGTTTATGATTATTTATTTATTTATTTAGTTAGTGTCGAAACAACCAGATTATCTGATGTTGGTTCTTCAAGTTGCTGCAAATGCGTTCACTTTAAAGATGCACATATAAGATTTAACAAATCTGTGGGTTGTGATCCATTAAAAAATTATTTTTCCCCCTTGGAAAGAAAATTGGTTTAGATCAGCAAAAAGTATAAAAGACATTTAAGCCCTTTAGATGTGAAATCTTCATCGAGTAGGCTACTTAGTTATGTCAACTTTGAAATCTTGAACATTTTAACGAGTAAATGATGATGAATGATGGTTAAGTAATATCTGAAAAAAATCATGGGAAATTTTTCAAAAAGTTTGGTTATAATGTTTGTTTTTGTATTGTAATGATTGCACCACAGATCCAGGCCATGGCAGAGGATGTTCAACCTATGCTGGCGGAGGTTCGTGAAAGTGGCTTGCTGCAGGAAGTCGAAAGTTTAACAAAAAGTCTCACTCAAGCATCAGAGGATTTGAGGCACTGCACTTACTTCATATATATCTATATATATATATATATATATATATATATATATAATATATATATATATATATATATATATATATATATATCGCTGAAAGAATAAAAAAATTTTCAGTTAACATTGATATTTTCCATTTTTGATTTTGCAGAAAGGCGCATTCGTCAATTATGACTCCGGAGAACACAGAGTTGATTCAGAAGTCCATATATACCCTTGTATTTACTTTGAAGAACATTGAGGTATGTATTTAAACTTTTTTTTTTTTCTTTCGTTCCAAGTTTCTTGACTTGTAATTCTTGATAATATTTTGGCATTTTCAGAGTATAAGCTCCGACATTTTGGGATTCACGGGTGATGAAGCTACCAGGAAAAACTTGAAATTGGTCATCAAATCACTCAGCCGGCTATTGTGACAAGTCAAAACTTAAATATAAAACCCACAATTTCCATTTCCAATTGTTAAAGTTTATAGATTGTGATGTGATTCGGTTTTTTTAGTATGTGTTATAGGATGCATTTTGTTAGTAGAGTTGAGATTTTAAGTGTGATCCAGAGAGACATCCCGTAGGATTGAACGTTTTAAACGTTGGTACTTTGTATTAACTGATTTTTCGTATTATATGAACAAATCATATTTATATGCATACATACATACATACAATAACTTGTTGTGTACTTGATTTACATCTTAATCTTTACAGACATAGTAAAATAGTAAGAGAGAAGAAAACTTGTCTCTTGCAGTTGAAAATGGCTACATTGATAAATGATAACAATATTGTGATCTTTATGGGCTATAATGGCAAAAATATTAAGTGTTACATGAAATTGGGCAAAAAAACTAAAAATTATGCCTTGCCAATAAACTCGACGTCAAACAAGAGAACTGAATCCGGTGGAATGATGCAAGAACCTGCAAATGCACCATTTGGAACATGCTAAGTTTCACTGCTTTCGTTAGAGTTATATGAAAGAAATAACAACCTACTTTTATTTATTAACATCTTCTTTTCATTTCTTCTATTGCATCATTGTATTTTAAAAAGTATATTCATTTATAGTAATATCATTATTCATTCAAATACAAAACAATTAGATTTCTCCAATAGCTAACAAGAAAAAGAGTTGAAAGTCCAATATACAAATTTAGTAATTTCAAAGTATAATGTCTTTATAAAAAAAAAATTTAATACAATGTTATAATACAAAACAAAATTAGAATATTCAAAGCATAATAAGTCTTTGTGCTACAATTTGCTCGATTTTTAAATTGCAAAAAGTTTTTTAAATAACAGAAGAGATTATTAAAAAATATATATGTAGGAAACAAAATTACACAAATAAATAAAATGAGAGAATAGCCCCCTTTTGATTATAATTTTGTTGGTGTGTGTGGGTAAGTGTGTTTACCTCCTTTACAACCAGCTCCTCGCATGCCATATCCAAGTTGTGAGGGAAGCTTCAACGTCCGTTTTCCTCCTATTTTGAATATTTGATCAATCAACATTCATTCATTCAATCGATCAATTGTATGAGATTTTATGAATTAAAGTGATTTTCATACCAGCAAGCATAGGAGGAACTCCATCGCCGCCTAGAATTCCTTGATCCCATCCCTTAATCACCTATTTCAATTTTCAAATCTAGAGTTTTTGAGGATCTCGGAACCAAATTAAAGCATATAAGTTGTGGGTTTTGTTACCTCACCAACGCCGATACGAAACGTAAGAGGTTTCCCTCGATTGTAGCTGCTGTCGAACACCTTTCCGTTTTCAAGTTTGCCTACATAATGTGCCTGTTTCAGTAGCAGTGGTGGTATCAATTAGCTTGATTTGGTTTTACAGGATCGATAGATTGGGGAAAGGAGTTGATTCGACCTTGATGAGTTGACCTTTTTCAGGCTGAGGGCCATATCCCACAAGTTTATCGCAAAAGGCAAGGCCGGAATCAGCCACCGTGAACTCGCATGGTGTAGCAGTGGTCGATTCTGGTGCAGCGGAGGCCGGTTGAGGCGATACAACGGCATCCAGAAACTTGAGACATAGCCCAAATCCAATGGCTTCTCTTCTGCTTATGTTGAGTTGTTCTTTGTGTTTCAACAGGTGGTGGTTACTGGATTTGGAAAAGGATGAAGATGCTATATTGATGGTGCGGTGGTGCAGGTGGGATGGTGGTGGTGGGGAGGAGGAGGAGGACACGGAGGAGGAGCATTTGATGGGTGTAGGAGACAGAAGAGAGAAGGGGACAGTGGTGGTCATTTCTGCACTTTAGAGAGGAAAGGGATAAGATTCAGAAAGTTATAGCCGAGTTAAACAGGAAAATGTTACAAAACTAGCCCTTAACTATGGCTCAGATTACATAAATTATTTGATTTTTTTTTTCTTGTAGTTCTAGTCAAATAAACTATAATTAGTTCATTATAGGGTTGTAAACCAGCTGCTGAACTCATTGGATAGATCATTGGACCTTTATGTTCGAGCTCAGCTAACGAAGATTTGAGTTTGATTTCAAAGTTGTTGTAAGAGATATTTTAGATGTGAGGTATACAGGACATACATATGATATGGCGGTGATTTGAGGTGGTCAAACGTAACCTCACCCATGACTTATCATTCATTCCCTCTCTCTCTCTCTCTCTCTCTCTCTCTCTCTCTCTCTCTCTCTCTCATATAACACATAGTAGAGTAGAGTGGTGAGTACCTACCATATAAGGAGTGGTTGATCCAGGATAAATATCAACCGGGGTCCACCCTATAACTAACAATAGTCCCTTCCGGCGACGGTGGCCGGAGATCCCTCAGGCAACAACTGTAGCATTCCTCCGGCAATGGTGGCAGCAAGAAGAAAGCAACAAATTGACGTGTTTTCTTAAGAATTATAAAAGTAGACGGAGTTTTTGATGGGTTTTTCAAAAGAAATGAAAAACATCTAGTGGTGAAAACTGAAATTTGATAAAAATATATCCATTAGAGCACACATTTACATAAGAGAAGATGGTCAAGTGGGTGCCAAGAGAGGGGCATCTGCACAAATTTAAAAGAACAATTTTTTTCCTAATATATAAGATGGGTCCTACTTTCAAGTGGGGTCATAGACCCCACTGTTTCTACACTACATCAGCCACTGCATATAAGTGGTGGAGAAACTGTGTTGATGTTTCGTTGAGGTGATAACATTTTTTGTATGATAGTGAGATCGATATATCCTGTAGTCTAATCTCAAATGCATAATATAAGATGTATACCATGACGGGAGTAAGGGTAGAAAACAGAGGATATGAAGACTGACGGTGTATATTGTCGGCATATGATTTTTATGGTTTAGGTTTCCATATTTTAAAGGTGAGAAAATATAAAAGTAGAGAGATTGTTTAGGTGGTGGGGCTTGAAGTCAACGTGTTTTGTTTCTGTTCAAAACAATGCTTTATTAATAATAAATAATAAATAAAATGTTAAATAAATTAAGAAAGAAATTGATAAGATTGATATTTATAAGAAATTAATTGGTAAAAAAACCTAATTGGTAAAAGCTAAATAAAAAATTAATAAAAAATAAAAATATGAAAAGTAATGTGATACATAATGTGTTGCAAATATAAGGGTAAAATGGTCATTTTTATTATTCAGGATAACCAATAAGATCTATATTCAAACAACATAGTTTCAGTTAGATATGAACTCAGTCATCAGACATCTGACTCAGTACTCAATCAATAACTATCAAACGGCCCTAAGTGATTCATACATATAAAAACCTTTATTATTATTGTAGTTGTTTATTATTATTAATATTATTATTATTATTATTATTATTATTATTATTATTATTTTGATATAAAGTTATTTGAAATCCGGAGGATAACCCACCTGTCCACAACCCATGTCTTCTTCATGATTCTCACTTTCTGTTTGTTTCGGTTTTCTATGGATCGATTACTCATTTATACAATTCCCCTAAAACTGGAATCGGGGTTTACAAGATCCACTGGCATACACCTCCCTTACCCCCCCCCCCCCCCCTTCCCCAATTGATGCCTTTCCTCACTTATGACAACCACTACAACACTACGGGGATGGTTCTATATGGTGTCCCATAATGGCATTTAAAATACAATAACTTCTCAAAATAATAATAAAAAATAAAAATTATAAAGTATTAAAAATGATAAATAAGAGGGTACCTAATCGTGATCTTCGAATTATATGATATATAAGAGGGTACTTGATCGTGATCTTCGAATTATATGATATTTGTCTGCTTGTCGAATTCTTGGATGGTATTATTTGGATAAAAATTTTAGGGTAGGTGATCTGCTATTCAGAAGTTAGGAACTTCAACACACAAATTTGAGAGTAAGCTCATTTCATAGATTTTTGTTCTCTTTTATTTCATGGGATCAACAATCCTTATATAGACATTGACTAACTAGTCAATTACACATAGTATTCTATATTATTGCATTATTATAAAGATACATACCTTAAAAACATATATTGGATGCTACTATGCATCATTGACCTATGTGTCATACACACAATACATTCATACCATTTACTTACTTGACAAAAATCAATATATCATAATTACTACAAATAGGCAATAATTGTATCGTGTTTTCTTCCTCACCCGTGGCAAATACTACACAGGGGTGGTTCTATATGGTATCCCATAGTGCCACCGACAATCCTGACTTCTGTATACGCAATGCAAAAGAAATTTGATTTTTTTCTACTATCGTGACACTACTTAAATTTTTCGTGCCACCCTACTATATAATCATGCGTCTGCCCTGCCACTGCACACTCAGACAAAGCCCCTCATCCTCACCAGCGATATCATCTCCGTACATTCTTTTGCTGTAAAAAATCGCCATAGAAGGGGTGGTTATAAAAGTAGAACCCCAAAATTGTTGTACGCAATTATAACGCATCAAATTTTGGCTATATACCATTTTACTTTAAGACTAAACGGAGTGGGCTCGTTACCTCGGGTTGCCAAACACGCTAGAACACCACCCCCTAACGCTCGCTAGGGGGCTCGCTACCTCCGACTCGTTGCAATCTTGGCGAGAAAAGAGAGAAATGAGTTGTGCAATGTGATTGGTGGAAAGGGAATTTGCTGGATTGCAATTTGATTTAAATAAAAAAAAACATTTTTTTATTTAATATTTTACCAAATGCTAAGAGTGTTACCACTCCCTACCAAATGCTAAGATTAGATGCTAAATGGAGAAAAATAAGATGACACTCAAAAGCTAATGTGGCAAGGTGCTAGGAGTGTTACCACTCCCCTTAGCCTAATAAGAAATACGTGTCCGTTGGAAGACATTTGTCCTACGCGTATTGGTCGGTTGGAGGTTCTCAAACTCAACTCATCAAACCATGATTTCATAAAAATAAAATAAAAAAATTTTATATGACTATTAATATGAAATTCTTCAAAAGATAACAAAAAAAATGAAGAAACAATACTGCAAAATGTTGTAATAAACAATAAATAAATAAGAGTAAGAGTAGGTTGTTTGTTGCATTTAGCCGTATGATAAATATAATGTATGTTAAATCAAAATATCAAAAGTATATCGAAACAGATTTAAGATATCCACACACCCTCCTCCTCCTCCTTTTGCAATTTGTGTTCGTTACCAAAAACTTGAAAGAAACGCAGCAACATTTTTAACCAGATGATTTACAACACACTACCTTGCTATTTCTCTCACTCTCTCTGCTTCTTCTAGCAATTTTTTTTATACAGCAATCAAGTTGACATGATAATTTGAAAATTACTGCCTCTTTGCCAAAGTCTTCATCATCCCCTTTATAATCTTCCCGAACCACATCAAGTTCATGGCTCCAAGCACCGATGGAACCGTAAACACCAAAAGAAACCCGATCGGATGCATCTCAATCACCTGCCACCATACTCATCAATCATCATCACTCCTAAATGCAACAAACAAATACCAAACCTACCTTCACTTATTTGTGTTTTTTTTTTTCTTATTTTGAAAAAAAAAATCTACTCTCAACTTTTTTCTTATTAGGACAATATATTTTGAAAAACCTACCCAATTATATAGTTTAGTAGTGACAGTTGGATGACATTGTTACCATTGGATTGATTTTTCAAAGTAAGATGCAATTAACCCTTTAAAGAAACCCAATTGGTTACCTTAAGATCCCTTCATAAAAAAAATATATAGTTTCAAGAAAACTTTTTGCTACTTTTATTTGTTTGCTATAGGATTCTACTTTCTTTTTTCTATTACCGCAGTGTACTTTCAATTGTACTTTGAAAAATCTACCCAGATACAGTAACATAACAGGAAGAGATAAAATTAGGATGTTATATAAACATTGCTATTTCTTGTGTTTAACCCTTCAAAGAAACCCTATTTGATGCATCTAGATCCCTTCTCAATGTTTTCACAATTCAGAAAAAAAATATGGTTTCAGTTAAAAAGCTATACTTTTGTTATGGAAACTCTATATACTCATGTATCTCTTAAATTACAGTATTGTATTTGTATATCCACTTTTTTCGAGTGTATCCAACTAAAGCATTGTACTACCAAAATGTTGTTATTAGCACATTGTAGTTTGAAAAATCTACCCAATTATAGCAGTGAAAATTGCCTTGTATTTTGGATGATCTAGCTATTACTGGATAGATGTTTCAAAGTAGGATGCTATAATAAGCAAAAATATGGTAGTAAGTTGCTATTTCTTGCATTTAATCCTATCTTTTACATCAAAATTGGCACCATAAAGAATCCACAACTTTAACGTGGTTGAATAATAAAAAGTAGGATGCTATAAATTTACCTGATGGTAGTGCAAATACACATGGTAAAACATATAAACAAACAGCAAAATTCTGGCCACCTGCATCAATAATTGCAAAAAAGTAAGTACCACACGCATAGATTCAAGTCATATATGTTTGAAATGCCCCTTCAAAAGTCACCAAAAAAAGTGAAACTTGAGGCAAAAATACAATTTGGAAAATAAGTAGCACTTTTGATTGGCATGTGTATGTCATCTTCCCCAAGGCTGTAAGTCATTTAATGGCTAAACTAGTTGTGAGACCCATGTATTATTACATGGGTTTATTAAGTTAAATATAAAAGTCTAAATATTTGAGAAATTTGAATTTATTAGACAAATATTGAATTATTAAAATTGAAGTGTTTTTTTTCTCTTTTAAATTTAAACAAACAACTTAGACAAATAAACAAAGGAAATTAATGGGACTTTAATTTAGGAATTTTGAAATTAGAAGGTAAACCCATTAATGAAATTGATATCCATTTATTTATTACAATTTATTACATGTAAATATTATGTGGAATTTAATAAAATGGAAAAAAAAAAACAAACCAAAAAATGACATGTGGACAAAAATTAATTTAAAATAACCACAAAATGACATGTGGCAAAAAGATCTTTATTTATTAGAGTTAGAAGAAGAAGAAGAAGAAGAAGATGCAAAAAAACAAGAATGTTATTTGTTCATCATAGCATCCTACTTCTATTTTTCTCTACTACGACATTGTATTTTCAATTTTTCCTTATTAAGGTATTGTACTTTGATAATTCTATCCGATTATAGTTTCATTTTTTATTTTTTCCTTATTAAAATATTGTAGATTGAAAAATCTGGCAACTATATGTATTTGGATAACAGATTTTTCAAAGTACAAGACTATAATCGGATGAAATGAAAGCATTAAAGTAGGTTGCTATTTCATGCATTTAACAAGGCATTTTAATGCTCACCATCCAGGCAAAGAATATGACCACACCATTAATCAGATATGCACTCGACTTCTTTAAACCAGCTGTATCTAGGTACCTAACACCATTAAAAGATTAAATTAGCATGAGGGGTATATACGTAAAACAACATCATATATACATATACCATCTCAAGTTGATCTCCGGTGTTGTTAACTCAGATATAAGGACCATGAATGTGTAAAGCTGCCCTTCTCCTGTAAACATGGCATATCCTACTGCAATTGCTGAAAGTGTGTGATGAACAACCTAAATTCCACCATTAAAATTTAGCATCACTAACATAAACTGGATTTGAATATACACCCAAAATTTCTCACATAATAGGACAAAACAATCTAGACTGAAAGCTTTTGTTCAAATTGGAGGTGGTTTTTGTTTCCATTTGGAGAAGAAAGATCACAGATTTGATGCAAACAGAAAAGGAAATAGCATATAATGTTTTAATCAACCGATTCATCCTTCATCATCAACTTACATATTCTAATCCACCCAAAGAAGGATATAGCCAAATGATCATTCCAAGGTCTGATAGGAAGTAGCCAACAGAAACCTGTGAAAAAAAGAATAATAATAATAATAATTGAAATATTGAGAGGGACCACATACGTTACATTGCTCAAAGATTAAGAAACCACAGCAGACATTCGAATTGCCAAACACATCATATTCATGCCCTTGAATTTTTAATTTTAAAATTTGTTTCATAGGGGAGGGTCGAAAGAATTCAATTCCATTATCCTATTTTCATTAAAATACCCTCGACATAATATTCAATTATATAAATTTACAATCAACAAACTATTCAGATTCATATTGATTTAACAGATTGAAATTATTAAGACTTACCCCTAATGCAAATGTGGAGAGTGGTGAGCTCCTGAAAGTAACAGGACCCACAGTATAGTGATCAGAATAAAGATCTGACCAGAACACAAAGTACAAAGACATTGCTGTAATGAAGATGGCATGAACAGACGACATACCCCTGGAAGTGGAACAAATAATTATCAATCCAAAAGGAGAAAAGACATAACTAAAGATAGAATCAAAAGAAGGGCATTCACGTCATTTGCATTTACCTGTTGTTCCATTCAATCCGCTGAATTTTTGTAAGGCCAGCATAGGTTCTGAAGTAAAAAGTGCTTATCAACTGTGTAAGATCATAAACCTGTACATAATAATCTTCTCAAGGCTTAGACAACAACCCATAACTTGATGGAAAAATAAACATATAGTAATTATTTGGGTTAAATGCAAGATATATTCATATGTGCTTATTACAGCATCTTGCTTTCAATTCTTCCTATTATTACAACATTCTACTTTGAAAAATCAACCCAATTATAGAAACCAATTTTGCCTGCTATAATTAAGTAGATTTTTCAAAGTAGAATGTCTCGACTCTTGATAAGAAAAAAATTGAAATTACGATGGTTTACAAAAAAGGAAACGAAAGCAAGTTGCTATAATGAACAAATAAAGGAAAAAAGGGAAAGATTAAACATACCATTTTAGTAGCAAATATGCCACCTAGGACAGAGGTGTAGGGCATAAATGCATCTGCTAAAAGGTAGGTTTTAACCAGGACCTGAGCATGGTTCTGGTAGGACTTGAATGCCAAAGCTGTCTTCTTAGAAACTGCCATCTTCACTTGAACCACTTCTGTTTAGTTACAAGATAGATCTTGTCTCCATCACACTACACCTCCTCCTGGACATGATGATTTCATATAATATAATATGTCTTTTACTTTGAAATAAAATGATTATATTAACAAAAACAAAATCCAATTTTTTTATCAAGAAAAAACTTAGACACCTGAATTGCCCAAATCCATGTAATACCTCAACTAAGATGTTGTTTCTTTTTGACTTATGGGGACATGAGTTAATCCAGTAAGCTAGCTATATTGGGTGTTTCTTTTTGACTTAATGCAGAATGAACGACTTAATAAAGAGAAAGTAAAGGAAACGAGGCTTTCCCCATTAAGTCATAACTAAGGACTAAGGACAAGAGGCGCATAAGCAAATGAGCTAATTCAGGACACAGCATTCTACAAATCTTAATGCTTGGAAGATCATATGGAGATTCTATATTTCAATCAAGCTCTCTTGTAATCCTTCCTCGACTTCTTTTAAATTTCTGCAAAAGGATCCCTCCCACAATGCCCCCAAGAGAGAGCATCATGTGAGATGTAGATCAGGTACACTATGGCTGTTGAGACTCAAAACACTTGATCAATTTTGCAAAATACCACCATGGAACCAACTGTGCTAAGCCCTTGGGGCTAGGGTATGATCCTGCATACCCTAAAGAAGATGACTTGAATCTCTAAATGATTTCGTCGATGGGATTTAAATAGTGAGAAACGTCAATGCACCAAACGGATATAAGCATCTCATTGTGCGATCTAGTTCACAGATGCCGTTTTTGAATAACTATATGCCGACGAACATTATAGCACAACCAACTGCACTTCTCTCAAATTTCTTACTCGGATCAAAAGGTTAATGTCAAATCCTAGATATGAAATTAAAAGATGACTACGAAATCGACTACAAAAAACCAGGAATAAAAACTAAAAAATTGTAGCGCCACAACATATAGATTAAGCCGAAGATCCTTAATCCACAAAGCTCAAAAATATAAATCCAATCACCATTTAACCATTAGGAAAACAATGTCCTCATATATAGTCGGTCAACTGGCAGTACTATAGTTTGGGCAATACATATACACTTGGTATAACTAAAAAACATCAATGGGGGAAGAAGAGGGGTGGGGATAAGAACTAGTTCAATACACACACACATACACGCACGAATACTAACATATGAGTACCTTAAATCCGATGTTACTGATTCGCACCAGATGAGTATATAAACAGGGTGGGAGAAATGTGATAGAAACGACTAAAAAGGGTTCTAATAAATTTCAACCGAGAGAGAGAAAAAGAGGGTTTGATTGGTAGCGTAAGAGGAAGAAATTAGCAGGGTGGGTGGTGATGATAACAGTTGGACGGCGACGGCGATGGCGATGGCGATCGAAGTTATTATTTGGCGTAGAAGAGAAGGAAGAAGTTTTGGTCAGATCACTCCGATCAAGATTCTGGTTACAGATAAAGAGCAAGCCAGCGGTTGGCATATGTTTCTATTACGCAGGATTAGTTTGTACCGTACAAATCAGCACTGCTGAAGGAGGGGAAATACAACAAAACAAATCCATATTAAGCTCATTTATGGCATTTTTATGCCATTTTGGTACTCGGTTGATATTCCGTATACAACAATGACTTGCTCACTAAAAAACTCTTTTTTTTTAAACCCTATGCATCTCACGATCAATCTTTTATTATAAAATGATGATCATGTTGGTAGTATGGAATTTCAATTTTTTTGGGCATTATGTGAACAGGGTCCATCCGAGCATATATGTTTGCTAGTTTCTTGATTTTCGGCATTTGAACCATACCTCACGACTCGTGATTGGAGACAAACGGTCCTCTTCGACATTAATCCGTGCTTTCCCGCGTAAATCGATTGAAGTCTCACTTTCGCACCAATGTACTCATAGTTTTTTGCGACTCGCCAATAAATGACATTAATACAATTAAGTAATCCTTATTCCGTCTAGGTATGGTAAGTGTTGATAATAGCATTTTAGATCATTTTGTAAGATATCATGGTTTTTTTGTAACATATGCATACATCAACGATGTCGTGAATGTGGATACTGTAACGTTGAGAAAACATACATCCGTGAATCAAGATCAGAATCACAAGTTTTCAAATTACTAGCGAGGTGTGGTTTTATGTATTATATATATATATATATATATATATATATATATATATATATATATATATATATATATATATATAGGTTCAGGTATTTTAACTAAGTATTGTGTTATTGTATGCATAAATGTGGGCCATTCAAAATTAAATAAAAAATTAAATAATTAAATAAATAAATAAGGGTAATTTAGTAATTTGTTTAAATACTTCTAAAAATAATCCCTATAATCATGGTATCTCTCCAGTTTAAATCTCGTTTCCCTCTTTATCTAAAACCCGATTCTGAAAACCCTAAATTGAACAAATCGACACCAGCGACCCTTTGTGGGGTTGCCCTTCATCGTCTTCTTCATAGATCGGGAGAGGGAAGAATCGAGCGATCAAGCATCGAACAGAGGTGGTCTTGGTGGTGGTAATCGATGTTCTCCCTTTCTTCCTTACTGATCATCACGTCTTCTTCCTTATAGGTTGAACCTGGACATACGATCCTCGTACATGCGGCGGCAGGTGGCGTAGGATCTTTGGTTTGTCAATGGGCAAATGCGATTGGAGCCACCGTCATCGGAACGGTGTCGACCAAGGAGAAGGCTGTGCAGGCGAAAGAAGATGGATGTCACAGTTGAGCTGAACAAGTTGGTAATTTTTTGAACACCTGGAGGTATTAAGCTTCTAGTATAACTTGGTCCAAACATCCATTAGAATCTGCTAATTCGTCCTAAAGAAATATGTGAAGGATTAGGAACAAAAGCCTTCATCTCCATTTTTCCCCAAACTTGCTCTCGCTCTCTCATTCTATTCAACGTTGTACGCCCCCTGTTCACACTCTCGATCAAGAATCCACCACAACCATCTCCGCATCTTTTGATCATAACATACAATTGAAGTTCTTTAGAGAAACCTCTTAGCAGCTGATTCAAAATTGAAGTTTTACACATATCCATCTCATCTTCTTCCTTCGTCTTCATAGATTTCTGGTTTTTCATTTGGAAATTTGGTTTTAAAAATCAAAGATTTCTTTAGTTTTTCCTACAGTTTTAACCTTCTTCTTAGCATTAGGTACATTTTCTTCTTCTTCTTTCTCAATGAATCAGTTGATTGTTGATTTTTTTTGGCTTTTTTACGTTGGTGTTCAATAATTTGAATTGAGATATGTATGCTTTCTTATTTGGTTCCCCATTTCAAACGTTTTCAATTGTTGATTTGTTAAATTACGGTTAGAATTGGGGTCTCCATTTTCAAAACATCCTATTCTTAATCTTTGTAACTTCATTATTGATGAATGAGTGGTAGATAAATCTCAATTCAAGATACATCAAAGTCTATCCTTTTCAACTCAAATTGAATGACAATCTTGTGATTAAAAAGATGCCCTTTTTCACAAACTATTTTACCAGTGTTTCTCAAGGAAAGGATGTGTTTCTCAAGAAGGTTGGTATTCATATAAATAAAGCTTCTAAAGGGCTGAATGGATCAATTCACACATTTGAGTTGAACAAGCTGGTAAATTTTTGAACACCTGGAGGTATTAAGCTTCACCATGTGATTCTTTACAAAGAAGAGAACTTTGTGGATCGAGTTATGGAGATAACACCAGGCAAAGGGCTGGAAGTAGTCTACGATTCCGTCGGGAAAGACACCTTCAATGTAAGATATATTAATTAATCTAATTAATTTGTGGTTGGGTTTCAACTAATTAACTGTATGTGATTTTGTCCTTTTGAAATGAAGGGATCATTAGCGTGCTTAAAGAACCGTGGATACATATGGAAGAACACAAAAATAATTCTATGAGAATATTGCACACCAGGTGTTTGTAGAAATGCCTGAAAGAGAACTTGATGTTCAAATTCTTGAAGAACATAAAATTTGTTTTATTTTTGTTGTATAAAAGCATTCTCACATAGTTGTATTCTTACATAATTCAATTTCATGACAGTTGTTCTCATAGAATGAATGAAGTACATGATGATCAATGGCCCGAAGGTTGGATGAATGTGTGTGGGATAGACATGAACAATCCTCAATGGTCACCGATCTTCCACAAAAATGCACTACTCATTGTCATATTCTGTTAGATTAATCTATAATAGAATGATAAGAGTATATGTAATAGTATATTCCAATAGAATAATCTACATATTATATTTGTTTGTTATTAGGTAGTGTTTCATTATTATAGAATAAAATATAAAGTTTTTTTGCAAGGATGTGATAGAAAAAATTTAACTTGTATCTAAAAATTTGTTTATTCTGCGAGAAGTAAGACTCTTTATTAATTTATGACTTGCATTTTCATAGAATATCATTATAAAAAGGATGTCATTCTGTCAGAATAAAATCGGGTATGATTAAAAATCATGTTAGAATTATTTAAACTAAATTAATTTAAAAAAAATCAAAATTCAAAAATTAAGATAATCAAAGATCCATTAAAATATGTAAATTTCTTTTTTTAAATTTGGGTTTCCTAATTTTAAGGCAATGCAAATGTACAATATTATCCTTCATTTAATTAAATGGCATTATTCTATTTTTCTTTTATTTAATAATATAGGTAAATCACTTTCTTAAAATAAGTAAAATGATTGGCCTACATTGATGCATACAATAACACAATAATTAGTTAAAATAGAATAACCTAAGCCTATATATATACCTTCTTAATAAAAGATTTGTATTTGCCACGTTGCACTTACAACACCGATTTCCCTTCAATGTTAAATTCCATTTTTGCCCCTACTTCATATAACACTGTCGATTACATGTACACGAAATCAGTATAAAGTTTCTACTTATCATTCACATTCAACCTATCAGGGAGTACTCATCGAAAATCTTGACTAAATTAGCATTATGAAGATAATCCATTCCAATGATTATTCGTCAATTCCCTATTTATTATTCGATTTGTTGAAGGTAATCCCACAATTTTTAACCCTAATTTTTTTTAGATACGATTATCATCTGAACTCCTTTCTCTTCTCCAGTCATCTATCTGGCATCAGGTGTGGTTATGTTTTGTTTTTCAGTCCTCCTAGGTTTTCCTTCAATTTACTCATCATGAAAACTCCATTTGATTCAAGGTTTGGACATCTTTTTGTTTTTTTTTTTCGTTCTGTAATGATATTTTTATATCATCATCAAATTAGATTCCATTTATTTTGATAGCCATGCATCCCATAAACGGTATGAGACTTTAATCCATCTTTGATGTTTTCATTATGTCGATTCTTTGTTGCTGCTCTTTAGATTTCTTCTAATAGAGTTTCATACAAGGATTATTATGATAGTAAAGTATCAATTTTTGAATTCAGGTTTTAATGAATCTGTTTGGATTTATAATGAAATTTGATGTTTTCATAGTTTTTTGAATAAGTTTAAGCTTTCTGAAATATTTGTTGTGTCATGACTCCTCCTGATATGTCTCATTTTACTATTTAGTTTGTCTACCTTGCCCTGCTAAACCGATGACACCTTCCAGAAGATCTAGAATACGACTTGGTAAATCAAAGATCGACATCTGAAATTTAATATTATATGGAATCACACTGTACTTGAAGGGTGTTCATGGAGTTGAATTTTATGGAAGCAAGAAAGTGATGATTACCAATAAAAATGCACGTTACTTGAAGCACGAAAGTTTTATTTTATAACAACAAAAATGATATTTGCTACCCGTTGAAGAGCATTTTCACATTGCAGAGATGTCATTTGCCGATCAGGTTCTTTTTTTAAAAGGGATTTTGTTTGTTAAATAAGATAAGCATTATATGTTTGGTGTTAGTTGTTTATAATAGTTTGGAATTTCAAACAATAATGTTCATTCTTACACTAAAATATGCTTTCAGATTGGAACCTGGAGATGGCTATACTCCTCTGATGAGCCAATGACTGAATTTTGCAAAAGTTTTAGAATAATTAGAAAATGTAATGTTAAATGCAGAGAATTGATGGTTATATCTAGATGGGGGCATATTGGTAAATTCTATTTTTCCATGTTTTGTTGTAGGTTTAGCTGGTGTTATGAAGAAAGAAATGATAGATGGGAAGATAAACATCTGGACCTGTAATCAATGGTTGATTGATTGGTTACTGATAAGTGGTTTTATAGTTTGGTTATTGTTTTCTTATGTTTCTACTCACCGTGCTTGACACACCTAGGCTGCTGGGGGAAAATGGTTTCGCAAGCCTAAAATGTTCACTGACAAACATAGGTAAAAACATACTTGGCGTATTTGGGGAAATTAATTTAAGTGTTTTTTTATTTAGGTGAAATTAATTATATGTTGTTTTTTTACATGTTTAAAGGCGTATTTGGGGACAAAACTTGAACTTGAAGTGTATAAT